TGTTCTGTTGTTTCAGTGAAATTGAGGCGGAATTACTTGAATTTTATAACAATTTTTCAGTGTTTTTATTTTTTACAATCATAAAAAAAATTAAGGAAAGGATAAAACCATAATTGAATTGATAAGATTGATAAAGAGAAGGATGTTCATAATAAGACTGTCGATAATATAGTACTAAATTTTTCAAATAGATCATAATTAATTAAAGAATATTTATTAGCAAGAAGTCTTTTCATCATATAACTTTGGAAAAATCTGTTGCACTCCTTACCATAGAAATATACATGTCGATCTGGAATACAGACCCTGTAATTGATAAATCTATTTAATTGGTAGAAATGTTCTTTGTGTCTTTATTTTCCAAAACGAAAATTCAGAGAATCATATTCTGAAAAAAATATTTTCATGCTTGGGAGCAAAACAACAAATGCTGCACTCATGACATTATTGGGTATACACAGATATTTGACTCTCATTAATGCTGCATGTGATTTATACAATATTTTTAAGTTTTAAATTGTATATAAGTTATTGGTTAAAAACTTCGAAAATTCTTTTTTGACTTAATTGTCTTTCAGATTTTTAAATTCGATGTGTTTTTGGCAACGCTACATTTCATCTGTTGCACTCCTGACATAATATAACATTTTTTTAACAGCAGCTATGATCACAACTTGGTCAAACAAAAGTTGCCTACATTTAAAGCTCAATACTTTGAATATTATCTGGAAAGTGTTTATTTTCAACATAAACCATTTTGTTTTATTTCACGGACCTTCAAAATTATTGAATTTTCAAAATATAAAAAGGTGTTGCACTCCTGACATTCTTAGCATCATTTTTGTGCATAAATTTTTTGTGAATTGAGATATCAATGAGATATGTGACAGGTATTTAGACACTATCTAAAGACATATGCCGAGACATAGAAATTTATTCTCATTGCCTGTATTTTAGTGCAGGTTGAGAAATGTGTTTTGTCATTTTTTTAATTCACCCTAGTGGTAATCCAATTTATTCCCATAACTTCCGTTCTAAGGAGGAAATTCTTTAAAACCATATGGCAGTTTTAAATATTTTTAATATTCCCAACAATCAAAATGAATTTGAATTACCTTACCTATAATGGATTCCTAAACGTCATAAAACTCCGTACAATCAAAGATTAATAGTGGGTTTCAGTACATGTTCTTCCAACGCACGTTCTTTACTCCTCACTTAAATATCAACAGTAATGAAGGAGAAACTTCAGGAGTACTGTACAACATATATTTGAGAAGTGGTGTAAATCATATGTGGATGCTTAAAAACTCTAAGGAACTTTTAGAAAATTTGAAATCACACAATTTTACAAAAGTCAATAACATCAAAACGTACGACTTTTCAACACTTTATGCAACCATTTCCCACGAAAAATTAAGTTCCAGGCTTTTTGACATCATAGACAGCTGCTTTTTAAATAAAAATTGAACTCGTAAATTACTTACTTTGTCATTGATCTTTTGCAAATTTATTTTGTTATACATTTTTTTGTTATACAGTGTAAATGGAAAATAAAGAGCTGGCGAACAGCAACCTGTTTACGACATATATGTTTGTTGATTATAAAGCATTCAATTAATTTATATTTGGACAAACGAAGTGAGGGAGAATATAAACATATTTATCCTGTCCCCAAACTTAGCATGAAACGCATACCTTTTGCAAGCATTGTCCTTCACGCAAAATCATTTGAAGCAATGGGACCCTTGAATGGAATGAATTTTAATTTAAATAAATTGCCTTCCAAGATCTGAAAGTGTATCATCACATTAGTCAAATTTTTTAATAGATGAAGTCACAAAGCAATGAAATATTGATGTTGTGTTCACTGGCAGGCCATAGCTCTGAAACTATTGATGTTCCAGATTAGTTTGAAATTAATCTTATAAATATTATATTTTCTGTGCACCAGTACATGTAACAGCGGTTTAAGTCCGTCATCAAAGCCACAATGATTCAAGAGAGACGCTCTTTGATTGATGATAATAGAAGCAGACTGATAGAAAGTTCCCTTCAGCTTACAATATGGGGAGTAGAGAAGATTTGGATCAGGTATTCCTTCCGAAGGACAGATATTGCTTTTGGATTCAAGTATAAGTGTACAACTAACTCTTTTCCATTGATTTTTAACATGTAAATTGCTACATGTGGAAAGCAACACATTACCATAAAACTTGTTCATTAAAAAAAAAACACCAAACTCTTTAATTTATTATAAATCAGCAAAACTTAAAAATAATTATTACTTTTGCAGATTTTCCCAATAGCATGAAGCAAGAATCAAGTGATTAGGCTAAGGTTTATATATATATATATATATATATATATATATATATATATATATATATATATATATATATATATATATATATATATATATATATATATATATATATACATGTTAAACATAAATCTTCAAATCAAAGCAAAAAAGAAATGCACAAAATTAAATATCGAAATTTCATGATACTTCTGACAAGGAACATTTGATACTGTAAAGGTTATCTTTGCTCAGTCACACCATCTACACTTGTAAAAGCAAACTAAATTGTATAAATCTTTAAACAATTAGATATACAGTATTATTCAAATATTTACATTTCTAGCTGTTTTTTTTTCTGTGATTACTCTTTGAACGTTACAAGGTTAATTGAAAATGACCCATCCTCTAGAACGTTGCTAGGACAATTTTCGTGCCCTCTTTCAATTAGGAGTGCTTACTATTAACTCTTCACCTCGTAAAGCTCACTGTTAAAGTTTTGCATTGCCAAATTTGACATCGATTATTGTGAACTGTCTTTGTGACATATCGTGCACGGACTTTCAATAATTTGACTGTCTTTGTGACAAAGTCAAATTATAGAAAGTCCGTGCACGATATGAATGATCCGTCAATTTTCGTACTAAAAATCTCGATGATCTCCATGCAGTCACTATTAACTGAATCAGTATGCCATTTCCCAATCTATACTGCACATCAATTCTTAATAGCTATAGGTTTGTTGGAATCAAGAGGTAAGAATGCTGCATTATTTTTTTAGAACGTATGAGAAGATTCAACAAAATCAATCTCGTTCTTTCTATTGAACATTCAAAAGTTACATGCATAAGCATAAGGATTGACCAAAAGTTATTCATACATGTATACCGCTCTGATTATAATGAAATTTATCCTTAAATATTTTTGCAAATATACTGAAACCGTTTTAACATGCCTAATATTGGTCATTGGTGTTAATGTTCCTAATTGTTGTAAGCTGAGAGTCACACACCCCTGCAAACCATAGCTATGAAGTTGACAAGAAATTTGTTGACTTATCAGGTAAGAGATAATATTCTATTTACAAAAAAAAAAAAAAAAAAAAAAAAAAAAAAAAAAAAAAACAACAAAAAACAAAAAACAAAAACAAACAAACAAAAACAAATTAAAATGCAAATGCCCTCTGCAATAGCAGACATTCTTCATAAAGTCTAGCCGTTATATGCACGGGTATTCAGAGGGTACATGGCATTCAAATTATTTCATATATATTAAAGAGTAAGCTAGCCTCTCAGTGAACTTAAATCTACCTTCTAAAAGAATAATAGCAATAGTCTCAGTCAGCCATTTTCCTTTACCCATTACCACATACTCCTAATCGTGTGACCAAACACAAGAATGCTAGACACTTTAACAGAGAGTTGCACGTCAAATTGTAAAAATCAAAGCTGTCCATCGAACATCTTCTTTCAAACTGTTAACAATATATATTCAGAATATTTTAAGAATGTGAAGAAAAAGTTCAAGCGCCCGCTTGGAGCAGGGATGGCACACTGTGGATTTATACTGCTTGATATCTAACTCAATAATGACCTTTTGAAACAGCCCTGATAAAATTCGAACCTAGATGGGTCTGAATGACCAGACATGTACCTGTGTATATAAACCTAAACGTTTTAGTAAGGCCTTTAAGAGTTTGATCTATGGTTTTTTGTATTTTTAATGCCCCCATGTTTTATCTGGAGGAATTCAGTGATAACAATGTTTCACTTCCTCATCCAAGATAAAAGTCCTACATAATTCATTATAATTTCAGCAGAAATAGCTTGGAAATCACTTGGAAAATATTAAATTAATTCATTTGTTTCAGAAAAAAAAATATTCATAAATGCCAGAAAAAGTTTTTTTTTTCTTTTGGGAGAGTTTCATCCTACTCTGAAATTTCTAATCCTGTAAAGTAAATATTATCTTTTATGCTTCCTGACCATTTCTTCATCCGGGATATTTGCTCTTTGAATGATAGGGAGTATTTACAATTTAAAGTACTATACCCCGTTTTCATATTAAAGAAAGATTATGATTTTAAAATGACGAAGAAAGAGGATGAATGTACAAAATATCATCAAAATAGGGTAATTGTACAAATACATGACATCAATGATTAATGTCACTTGGAGAAGAACAAGTTGTATTCCACGAAATTGTAACATCAATGTTACTTTTCGAAGAATATCCTTAAAGTTTATATTAAAAGAGTAACATGCTGTTTTATCGCTTCGCGTTTAAACAAGGAAACGATTCAAACAATAGATATAGTGTTGTCAGTCGATATTACTTTAAATTTGTTCAAATACACTTAAATATGACATAGATTGCATCGAAACATCAATCAACATCTTGTTCACATGGATATGCCCTTTTTATTCACACGAGCAACAGGTTGGTATTTTTCCAAATAAAACAATTTAAAAAATATTATCGCAACTATCAAATTTATTAGGAAGAAAAAATGATTTGCATTATAATAATGAAATGAAATATATTCGTCAATTAATTATTATAAGTACAAAAGATGATACAAGGAAATGTCTCAGGTTTCTTATTGATGATAAAACAACATATGTTCAGAAGAAAATAAATAAATAAAGTGGTGGTTTCTGTTTAGTCATATGAGGTTCTGAATGCTGAGAATCAAACAAGGTACTGGTAAATATGATATTCCACTTTTTCAGCATTTTTACTTGATATTTTTGTAGATTATGGTTGCGAGTAGTGAGTAACACTTTACAACTATGAACCGTTCGTTGCTACTTATTCTTATTATGAAAAAAATTCACTAAGTCTAATCTGAAAGTCAAATATTATCTATTATTTTATTTTAAATATCAACAGATTTCTTTTGAGTTTTAAACTTACATATACATCATTTTTATATTGAAAAAAGTCATTCAAATCTTCCTTTTTAAGTTATTCATTTATTTTTCTTTCTTTGCTATATCAGGAAAGCGTATCTTTTTTTTAAACATACATGTACATTGGCAAATTAGTGGGAAACATCGGGATTCTTCTAGTTTTTCTAAAGATTAAAAACAAAACCATCTTTGAAACTTGAGGGTATTTTTACCATAAATGAGTGATATGCGTTATGTAACATTTCTGTTCCAGATATCCATCATAATGTTTGTTAGAGTTTCTTTCCTGTTTCTGATCAGTCTGGTTTTGTTCGCGGCTTTGGAGACAGCTCTTACGGTAACTTAAAGAATGATAGATAAATGTTCTGAATGATCGCCTAAGTAATACACTTATAAACAAATGTCTTTTATCAAAGTCAGAATAAAGAAAAATAATATGAATATTGTTCTACAATTGATAATGATATCTCATAAAACATTTAAAAGATATATGTTTCTTTTCTTTAATGTTTTGTGTTCATTTTCATACAGGATGACAAAAACTTTAAGAAACCTGATGCCCGGGCGATACAGGATGACACAAACTTTAAGAAACCGGAAGCCCGGTCAATACCGGATGACGCAAACTTTAAGAAACCGGAAGCCCGGTCAATACCGGATGACGTAAACTTTAAGAAACCTGAGGCCCGGGCAATACAGGATGACGCACACTTTAAGAAGCTTGAAGCCCGGACAATACAGGATGACGTAAACTTTAAGAATCCAGAGGCCCGGACAATACAGGATGACGCAAACTTTAAGAAGCCTGAGGCCCGGACAATACAAGATGACGTAAACTTTAAGAAGCCTGAGGCCCGGACAATACAGGATGACGTAAACTTTAAGAAGCCTGAGGCCCAGACAATACAGGATGACGTAAACTTTAAGAAGCCTGAGGCCCGGACAATACATCATTTTAAAAAGAGATGTTGGAGGAAAGGTTGTAAAAGCAGAATTCTATCATTGATAAGTATTCAAATGAATATAAATAACACAATTTTAGATTGTAACTGTATGTTGACTAAAATACATACACAAAATGTCGATTACAGTGAAGGGACGACCATTTGTTTCTGAAAGAGGGATTTGGGCTTGCAAATTTTTTTTTTCAGTTTATTGATTTTCATGTTAGTCAAGGACAGATTATTTATCTTTTAGACGATCAAGGGCAGGATATATATTTTTCCTCCCACCAAAAAGGTCCCAGAGCCACAATGCTCAGTTGGGTAATTCAGTAACTTTAGCACTTGTGTTTTTCAGAAGATTTTTTAAAAAAAGTATTTTTATATTTCCATGAAAAATTGTGATTCTTATTTTTATGGCACCGTCCTAACTCTTAGAGACCTTTAAGTGAACACAACTATAGGACTTTCGACTCATTTGGCTAACCTCGGCTGATTCCGTCGCCTTCATCAAACGAGGTCAGATGAGGTACGAATCGGCTGAGGTGTGACAAGTGACTTTCAGCTTGGCGCTGCGTAACGTCATGTCCGAGGTATAAATGGAGCGTAGGGACGTTAACCGAGGCTCTTACAAGTAGGAGTAGCGACTGAAAGTGAAAGTTCAAGTTACAAGTATTGTACCTTGCTAAGAAACAGATATCCTTAATTGAAATATTGTTGAAGTACTAGGGGTTATCAAAATGTTCGTGAACTAGCACCATAAAATTAAAACCGCTCTAGGTGCATCAATGAATTTTAACACATTTAGTAAGCATCAATTTTTCTATCTTTAGAATAAACCATAGATCATTAGTTCATTTTTTAATTAAATTGATAATGTTTTTGTAAGCTATGGTATGTCTAGGCGGCACAACCTCTACCTGAGTGGAACTGAGAAAAACTCTCTTGATATGAGTAATTGTCATCCAAAAATCCTGTTAATTCAGGCATGTGGAATGACACAATTGTTCCATAAAATTTTCAAGTTTTACCTTATTTTGTAAATCCTTTAAAATTTAATCGTAGATTTTATATGGAGTTTTCAAACAATTAAGAACATGTTGAAATGATGTTAAAAAGGAAGAGGGGTTTCTTTTTCCAACATTCTATACAGTTTCGCCCCCTTGGAAAAATTGGTATAGACCTAGGAAATGTTTAAACTGGCTACAGAGAAATAAAATGCATTCAGAGTACCCGTTTTTAAATGCCAAGATAGATTCAGAGAGATGAGAGATGCACATTTAATGTGGATTTGTAGTCAGGGTATCAAAAGTCAGTAACGCCGAAAAGTGACGTCGATCAAAAGTGGTACATGTAGATATTGAATTCCGACAAGCAAAATATATGCTGGCATAATCAAGTGAGGATCTTTTCCTATGAACCGATCCGATTACAATATTATAATCATTCAAAGCAGCTTTTAATGACATTCTTAAGTCATAAAAACAAGGCGGGTTGAAGTCCTTACTTAACTCAAGGGAATCTCAGCAGGATAAATGTATGAGGTAAAGCTAGGGATCTGATATTTAAAAACAGAGGCATTGTTGGACGTCATGAAACGTAATGGCAACAGCGCCGGGTGATCATATAATGTCTTTTTTTATATAATAATATGGCAAATTATTAACATATCAAGCTAGAATTTTCAACATTTCTTAAACTTTTATTGTTTTTGTAGGCACAAACTACACAGTATTTATTTTATCGCATCAGTCCACGAACTGTTTGATAACCCCTCATATTCTTAAAAAGAACCAAGTTCTCTGTAATGTTTAAATTAAAATTCTAAAATATCAAGATACCACGCATTACATGGTGTTGTTAAACAAAGATTTGTATTATCAAAAGACTCCAATGGCTTAACAAGACAAAATTTCAATTTGATCTTTCTGAGCAATCATGTTTTTATTTTTCATGAAATCGGTTCAAAAATTCTATTTAAGTAGGAATCCATTTCTGTGAACGGTGCCGTAGTCATGTTTGCATTTTATTTTGGTCAAATGTTAGATAGATTTAGATTCTTCTCTTTTACTTACATTTTTCTTAAAACTTAATCAGCATAAATTTAACTTTAAAGGAAAAATGCATTTATGAGCCAATTACTCTTCACTATCAAATTATACGCAAAGTTATAGACCAAAAAACTTTAAATTCCCCAATTTGTTAAAGTTTTAAGGTATATATTACAGGACCAAGAAAGGTGGCCTTCACTGCATATTTAGGCGATCAGAAAATACATCTCGCTAAGCAGGTCATAAGATACTCTCGTGTGACATACAACTTAGGCAGAGGGTACAGAAATGGCATTTTCCGTGCCCCTTCAACTGGAGTGTACGTCTTCTACTTCACATCCATGCCACAACGAGGCAAAGGAGATGCTCTTTGGTTGGTGAAAAATAGAAGAATGGTTGTAGAGTCTGTGTCTGGAAGGGTATCCTCAGCCTACAACATGGGGAGTAATATGGCAATCTTGTACTTAAAACGAGGCTCCAAGGTTTGGGTCCAAACTTCCCCGAAATGGACATCCAAAAAAACATACAGATATAAGTACTCAGCCAATTCATTTTCTGGCTTTCGTCTGTATTAGTCAGCAGTCTGAGAGAAGGCTTGTGCAAAATGGATAGAAAAATAGATTACTTTTGAAAAATAAATCATTTTGACACCAAATTTATTTTGTTTTAATTGTAATTCAGTTAGAAATTATTTGCTCTGGGAGTATTTTTTCGCATCTCTAAGATCTTATACTTTTAAAATTATCATTAAAGATGATGAGTAAGGTAGAGAATATTCAAAAGAGCAATTTGGTACAAATTCAATAAAAATTTATTGTTTGACGTCATGCCGTGCTAAATTTAATCTACTTGTTCAATGGTATTCCTACGATAACTTGGTCGCTGATATTAGGCTCGTTACTTTTATATCAGCAGAGAGAGAGAGAGAGAGAGAGAGAGAGTGGGGGGGAGAGGGCTACAACTCCTTAGGATCTCCGTAATTGTGCAAGTGCGGGAGTGATTCACTACCGCATAGATTTCGGCTCAAATTTTCAGTAAGTGGGTATTTTATTAACATATCTTACCTGAACTCATAAAATGTACATGTCATGTAGTTATGCAAGACATGAATTGATCAAAAGATAAACAGAACAATCCGTATTTCGGTTATTTTCGTGTATGTCAACATCACAACTTGAATTTATCCGCTATGTTTACTGACCTTGATCGATTTTATTTTGGAACAACCAATGAGAAATCGGGATCTAGGGGAGCCGATCTTTTAGGATTTTCCTTATTTTAAGCATAAATATTACTGTTTATGAAAAAAAAAAATCACACGGAATGCTTTTAGTTTAGTGATACCCTACAACACAATCATTTATGAACACCGGCATTTGCTTTATCAAATGATTCTAAAATTCAAGCGCAAGTCTCAGTACATCACGCGCGAACTGTCATGGCTGTAGAGGAGAACGACTGGTAAACATGCAGATTTATTTTACTTGGTTTTCGCGTATAAAGGGCTATGTTGTTGATAGTGAATAAAATTCCGTCTTATTGGAAGTAAGTTGTATGTAAAAACAATTTATTTTGCCTGCAGTCGCCCGTATCTAAAAAATATATTTGCACCATTACGGAGATGCAGTGGAATTGTAGCCTTCTCCTGAAAATATCAGATTAAAAAAAAATCGAAGAGGGCTACATTATTGCAGCTAGATAATACAGGTCTAATACAGGTCTATCTATAAAGTCCATTTCAAATCAATTATTTTGTAAGGTTTTTAAAATAATAATTCTCAATCTTGTGTGTATATTCCTCATTGTACGATGATATTTGCATTCATTCAAAGCAAGAACCAAAAACATTGCACATTTACAAAAATTAAATAATCCAAGAAGACTCTATATGGATGGAATAAAGAAAGTAGGATTGAAGAAAAATCTGAATACATTCCCTTAATTACTCTATCAGTATAAAGATAGCACAATACCATTCAACAGCTAACTTTATTTGATCTCAATTATATTCTCTTACTTTAAAAAAAAGCTAAAACTTATGTGGAAGCTTCCTAAGGTAGTGTTAATTGTTCGGATCATGGCCCCCATGGGTAGGATGAGGCCAAAATATGGGATCAAACATTTGCATTGTAAAATATAAGAAAATCTATTACCCGGTAATTCTTTCTTCTCAAGAACCATTGGGCGAGAAAACTGAAACTTGTATGACAGTTTACTGTGGTAGTTAGGCTGTAAATTGTTCAGATTATGGTCCCCGGGGTAGAGTTAGGCCACAATAGGGATTATATAGGGAAAAAATCTTTAAAACTCCTCTTCTCAAGAACAGAAAATCCATAATGAATCATATGAATGTGAGAACATCTTCTAGTAGTTCTAGGAGATAATTCATTTTTCTTCAAATTTCTGCCCATGTGCAAAGGGTGGGCCACAAAAGGCACTCATTTAATACATTTATATTGGGGAAAAACATGATGCAGAACAGCAGGGCCAAAGAGACTCAGGTGAGCGTTGTGGCCAATGGGCCTCTTGTTTATGTTAGTTTCTATGTGTCGGAAACCAAAAGGAAACAAAATTAATAGTTTTAGCATTCGGAATCCCTACAGAAACTTTCCCAAACTATTATATAGTTTCTACCGAAAGGAAAATCCAATTCTCAGGTTTCCATTTAGTGTCAACTTTAAAAAATACATAATTATTTTATGGATCTGTACTAATATTGAAAAAAAACCCACAAAAGATACTGACTATATTTCATATCTCATAACTACATTCATGAGATTATAGGCATATAATTAAGGACATACGCAACGTAGTTTGAACTTTATTGTCTTTTTCTCTGGAGTTGAAGAGTTCCAATACTTAAAGGAACTATGTGCTACATATTATGTCTATATATGCTGTTGTACAGTACTTCTAAAACAAGTTTGGATAAACAAAACATCTAGAATATATTTTTAGTAATTTCTATATATTTTTCTTTGAATTATACAAGAATTTTCATCAATTGATATCTTTTCGAAACCCCTGATAATGCATGCTGATTTTTGGTCTACGTACATCTGATGGCACTATAATCTTAAATTAAGAATATCTTGGAAAATTATCAGTAGGTAAGGTACGTTGCGTATGTCCTTAAACACTAAAATTATTTCTGTGGTTTTGGTTGGTACTCCGTATTTATGTTTCAGCTGTTGATGAAAGAGTACATACTAACAAAAAAGTCATTTTACTGTTTATATTTGTGTCTGTATAAATAAACATAGAAATTAGATTTAAATACTTTAAATATTATGTTATTGATATTATTACGTCATTGTACATGTATGTTTCAATGAAAGAGCTACTGCTCTTTATCTATATAGGCAATTTGTTTAAAATATTGATAAACGACCGTGGTTTTCAATAGAAATAAAGGAGATAATATTCAGTGGATGTAAATAAAAAAAAAGAAATAATTAATTTTTCTAGCCTGTTGCAAACCAATGGAGCTCATCAGAAGAATGGCCTCTCACTGGAAAATCCCTCTTACACTAGTATTTTAAACAACCTTGACTAGAATGACTTTGTTTTCGCCATCTGGGTAACATGTATACAAATTTATTATAATGTTTAAACTGTGCTGAAGTAACAATTATCTATGACACAGATAAATGCCAGTAACATGTACATGTATTAATAATTCTTATTTGTAGTATGGAAACACGTATAAACAAAAGATGGCTAACTCCGAACTACTTTATCATGTTTATGAAATCATTGCGCAAATTAATTAGGTAACATACTATATCCTAGTACAAAAACCAGTTAAATCCGGATAGTCCCCAGCAACATAGTACTCTATGTAATGTTTTCCTAACCTCACCTCATCTGATCAACATGACGTCGATACATTACTCCTTCATCTGTTTTGACTTGGTAAGTCGACGGTCGTAGTCTGGACATAAAAGTAGCATGAATTCGAGGTGTTTGCCCCCCTACCCCCCCCCCCCCCCTGCAATCTCTAACCATAACGATTGTCCACTGACAAAACTGAGCACGTTTGATCCTGTATGTCTTAAAAGTTTTATGTTGTCCTATTTCTTACGAACTCTGTCACTTGTGTCAGGTTTTAATAGATCCAAGCGTATTCTCAGGTAACATCCAATACGTATTTTCCCATATGTCTCTCCTGTAATAGCATGTGGTGTAGTGCAATAAGTCATCAGGCATAAATTGATTTCTTTGTTAGTTACTTTGTTATACTTCTTCATGACAGTTTTGAGATACCTAACAAAGCGTTCAGCGAATTCATTTGTACACGGATGACAGGGAGATGATGAACCATACACATGTATTTTACTCCATTCTGTCGCAGAAATGCTTTGAATTCGTATGCGATGAGTTGTGGTCTGTGATCGAAACCAATGTCTTAGGTAGTCCAAGAACTGAAAAGATATCTCGTAATACGTTGACTGTTACTGTACATGTAGATGTTGTTGTGGACATTGGCACAACTTCCGGCCACTTTGAATTTTTATATTCCCCAGTATATACTCAATGCCTCCTTATCTATCTGGGAATATCCCTTCTCCGCCTTTGTCAAAGAACGAGAAGCAAATGCGATGGAACGTTCAGCTCCATACTCAAAGACATGTGAAAGTACGGCACCAATCTCGTATGGTGATGTATCCATAGCTAAACGAATAGGTAAAGTAGGATTGTAGTGGCACAAAACTTGTTCCAATTTTCTTTCATTTTCATGATGATTCTTCACATTTGGATGTCTAATTTCACTTCCAGTTGCTCTGTAACAACTCATTTAGTAGTCCAACCAGTGCAGCATGGTCGGGCAGAAATCTATGGTAATTATTCAAGCCTAAGAATGCGCATAGTTGCAACACATTTTCAGGTTTTGGTGCATTATTGACAGCATTTGTTTTCTCACTGAATTTATGTAAACATTCTTTATCTACTACATGCCCGTACACAGTAACTAATTTTGTCTCTAAAGGATTCACATTTTTCCAGATTTTCTCATAAAACGTGTTCTTCAAGTATCTGGATCATAAGGCTGAAAGTCCTCTGAAAGTGTTCTTCATCTGTCGTGCCTGTAATAATCATGTTGTCCAAAATGCATTGAGCTTTTGGAATGTGTGCACAGACTCGATCTATGGCTCTTTGCCAGATGGCAGTCGCGGAAGAAAATCCAAAGGGAAGTCATTTAAAGTGGAAAAGCGGGTACCCTCTTGGGTGTTAATGGTAAGTAAGTTCTTTGATACTTCGTCAACCTCCATCTGCAAGTACGCCCGCGTCAATTCAGTTTTGCTGAAATTCTGTCATGCGCTGAGGGATGCAAACATATCTGCTATCTTTGTAATTGGTGTTGTTATTTTCATGAAAGGATTAAGAGTCACCTTGTAACTACCGCAAATTCTCACTTTGTCGTTTGCCTTAGGTAATCTATGGTACTAATGGGGTAGTTCAGTCACTGAATTCAATAGGCGAGATGACTCCTTTTTGCTTTAATCAGTTGAGTTCCTCTTCTGTCCGAGGCATGAGCGAATATGCAACTTCTCTGGCCTTGGAAAAATTTAAGTAGAACACTATTCTGCATAGTAAGTTTTCCTTTTATGTCCGAGTTTACCGATTCCTGGTTCAAACAGTTTCTAATGCTTCTC